AGCGACTTCATCGAACTCATCAACCACTATGTATTAAGTTACCCAAATTTGAATTCAATGGAAATATTAACTAAAAAATTTAGTATGGCAATAGATAATCCACTCTCACCTGTATTAAATACCATATATAGAATTCTTTGAAAAAAACTATTAAGTAATATTTTACCACCTCAGCAATCCTGGTTTTAGATATGTTGATGATTTATTATGTCTCTGGCCATGTAAATGAGGACCTAAAAAGCTTTCCAACAACCCAGCCCCTCGATCAAATTCACTGTGAATTAAACAAGACTGCATAAATTGCCATTCCTAAATGTCTGATACACAGAATAGGTAACACTTTTAAGTTCAGTATTTATAGAAAACAACTAATGTGTGTTCATACATTCATTATTATTCTGCCCACCATAATAAGAATCAAACAGTCAGTATTTCAACAATGTTTTTCGTGCCTTGAGAATTTGCAGTCAAGAATTCATCGATGAGAATACAAATATATATATAATATTGGCTCAAACCTTAAATACCCTAGATCTTTCATAGACAAATGCTTAACATTACTAAGAAAACTTTTTATAGAACTGATCCCAAGCCCACCCATGACCATAAGAATATCTTAATATTACCATTTCTAAAAATTTCTCACACATTCCTGCACAGCTAAAAACCTGGAACGTCAATGTGGCATTTAAAAACTCATGCACTGTTAAACAAATGTTAATCAAGAACTCCCCCAACAACACAATTAGTTTGCATTATAAAGTTCCTTACCAAGGAATGTAATATATTTCAGGCCAGACAGGTAAGAATCTTGCAACTAGAATTAAACAACACAAATACAGTGTTAGGACAGGCCAAGAATCCAATGCTCTGTTTGTTCATTGAGGATAACAAGCATTGCATTGACTGGGATAATGCCTCTAATATTACCATGTAATTCAATTGATAGTAGGAACATCATAGAATCTAGTCTTATTAAACATACAAGCATTCAACATGAATTTGAGTAACAACATGTACAAGCTGGACAATTTTGTAATTAAGAAGATTTGTGATCAGGTGAGAAGGGCCAGATCCTTGACCATCTGACCTGACCACCAACCGTTGTGTGCTATTTAAAGATTAGTAGGGTCATTACCTAATACCTGACCATTGTGGACCTGGTCTCACCCTCCCTCCATATATATACCACCTTGATTTGTATTACTCTCTCTAGTCTGTACTCACCCCTGAAGATGTGAATTACACAAGCGGGAACTTCGTGTATTTCTTCTTTCCCTTGTGGTTATCAGCATATATATATATATCTTGATAAAATCACACAGGAAAAGGAAACAACAGACACCTTACCTTTCATCTTTATTCAAGACATCTTCCAGAGGCAACTGGATTACATGGACGGAGAGAGGCTTAAATATACAGGGGTGAGCTTATTTAACATGAAGGTCAGGTCTGTGTCATCCACTAATCCCACACCAGCACTACCAACACACACATAAGAAAGAGCTTAAGAGAAAAGGAGGCGGCAACATGACTAGTCAGGTCAGGCCAGGTCAAAATAAGGGACCCACAAAATAACTATGTTACATCTAGTTCAAAGGTTTTCAAAGCATTTTTAACCTTGGGCCACTGACAAATAAATTTATGTAACATAATATCAGTTTTTAAACTGACCATCACTAAGGTTTAATGATTTTCCAATTCCCCAATCAAAATAGCTTCAACTAGAAGTCTTTCTGTGACACAAGATGATTTGAATACTTCTAAGCTTTCCCCAAGCAATGGGATGATTGTTATTCGTAACATGAACGAACAGGGCACTGCTTTCAGATGCTGTTCTGATATTATATTTATATTGTTGTTTGATTATGAACTTCAATTATCCTCTCCTACATCTTAATTATTTGCGACTCACACAAGTACCAGTACCATTGTGTACAAAAGTCGTGTCCACTACCCAGCCACTGAGGGTTTGAATAGCTTTGGTCTGAGGTTTCGAAACAGCTGGGCGAAATGCTATGGTCGGCCAACAGATGTCGCCCACTGTAGTGTGTGTGTGTGTGTGTGTGTGGGGAGGGGGGAGATAGAGGAGGTGGGGGCTGGATGAGAGGCAGGTTTATTTACTATTTATACCACCATAATTTCAAGCTGCCTTTTTAACTACGTTTTGTCTTACAGTTGTTTCTTTATGGTTACGAATTCATGGAACAGGTGCAGTGCCCTGGGTGCTTATTGCCGCTCAGGTCACAATGATACTTTAAAGAATGGAATATATTAAGGATAAAAGTGAAATATGCAAGGATCAGCGTGAAGGGCCTTGGTCAGCTAGTTTTACTCAGCGACCACGTCACAATTTTGTTGTTATTCCGACAAAGAGATTATGGTAATATTTATTTATATTCCACCCATCCTTTGCTTAATAAATATTTGTGATAATATGCAATATTATATAATTATATACTTATGTTAAAAAGAGTGGAGTGAAAAAGTTATCAGTATTGTAAAATAGTATTCAGACTTAATCTAGTTCCAATTCTTCCAAGTTCCAGTGTTTAAACACCCCACCACAATATGCAAGCTTCATATATTTTGGAGTGTGCTCAGTTACCGTTAATATTGTGTGCTGAACATCATGAGCATTTCAATGATGGTAGCAATTGTAACTATATAATTATATTGTGTTATAAGACAACACATTCCACGACGTGTCATACAGATCATTGTATACCACACAATACATAATTTGTGGCTGTTAAGTTACTTTGTTATGAATTTTCATGCGATATAGTTTAAGACATCATTAAGGACATGGATTTAAGATAACACTGTAGGTGAGTTAATATATATTAATTGTATTTACAAACAATACTAAAATCCAAACAATACACCAATACACACATCTTAGTATTTGGTCCAGCCACCCATTGCATTCAGGACTTCATCAAGGCGATTAGGATTGGAGTCGACCAGCTTCAGGCACACCCCTGGTCGTCGACATATACTCTCCCACACGTCGTAAGCTTTGGCCTCTATTGCTGCACAGGTTCACTGCTCCCTAATATCCCAATCACGTTTCATCATGGCCCAAATATGTTCAATCGGATTAATATCACATCCTAGTGTTGGCTAGTCGATGACCTCAATTTCAGGGTGATCCTGGAGGTAGTCCTTCACTATGTTGCTGGTATGAATGGGACTGTTGTCATGAACCAGCCTGATAGTGTGGGGGTCTGGAACTGCCATAGCCCAGATTGTAGGAATTAGCACTTGCTCCAGGATGTCTACATACTGCTCACCAGTGAAACGGCCATTGATCTTGACCAGTTCACCCCCAGAATGACACTGACACCCTACCACTCACTGCGCGATGTTGAATGTGTTTCTCTGGGGGGCCGCCAGCACTGCCTTGCTTCGGCTCCCACTGACCTGAACACCGTTTTATCGGTAAATATAATGGTTCTTCAGTATTCTTCTCTATGTGGAAGGTGTTCCAATGCAAAGCCGAGTCGACACTCCTTGTGAGTAGGTGTTAGCCACCCTTTGTGAGCTGGAATATGGCAGTCGATCCCGGCTTTGCGTCTCGTCGTCATGTGATGGCAGTTGAGGCCCAGATTTCTTGAATGATCCACTGATGTTCGCATTGGATATGCCGTTGCAGCTGCCATGGTCATGGCGTCCATCCTTGCCTACGTTGCTCGTGGCCTCCCGCTTCGAGGTTTCGTCTCCACTGAGCCCTCTTCCTCTCACCGGCGGATCCACCTCCTAATCGTCTTGGTGCTCCTACCCACTTCGAGAGCAATGCTGGGCACAGTTGCCCTGGCTCTCCACATCCTCATGATTTGGCCTTGCTCAGCAATCACTGTCGACGAATTTGCTCGTCCTGCAGGCATATCTGAAATAGCAGAGTAATATTATGTTGTGGTAACTGACGCAGGCTTTTATATACTAGAGTAAATTAATGGTATAAGTAACACTTAGCTTAAGTAATATTACTCTGACATAACGTTTTGGTAAATCTTTTAGGATCAACTGCCCAAGAAACCCTTCCTAGTTCATGTATTCATAGTGAACTGCAAGTTCATCCTACCCTCCCCCCCTCCTCAAACTTCCACCACCACCCCTGCGACTGTAGAGTGAATATTCACAGATAACACTGCCCTGCATAGTTTTTGAGGTTTGTGTATTATTAAGCTTTTCTGGGTGTATTTTGCATGCTGATCTCAAAAATGTTATCCATTTTGCTCAATCAGGTTAGAATTTTGTGCTATAGCATTTTAAGCGGAGATTCAGGTAAAATATTGGCATTTTTCGCTCAAAATGGGGTCCTCATATTCGTTCATTAAAAAAATCATCTGAGACATTGGCAAGCCTCACAGAAAAGATTTCGGTCAGTTTTAATGCCCTTACGATGCATTTAAATACACCCACGTGCTCGCCGGCCATTTAAATGTCCGCCGTGACGCAAAGGAAAAGAGTATATGTCCGTGTTTTTTTACATATATTTTTTCACAATTAAATTTCTTTTTCATCTGGTGGTACATGGCATGTACTAGCAACCACCCAGATGTGCCTCTAAAGTCTAGACCCTCAGTCAGTGTCTCTCGAGACTTCAAGAAAGTGGGAGTGTGTGCGTCTCTCTCTCTCTCTCTCTCTCTCTTACACACACACACACACACGCATATTTCTAATCATATACACACCTGTTTTTTCTTCTTACAGAGTTGTACATTTAATCATGAATCTGAAGTGCAAGAACGACCCGAACAGGTTTTGCTATGTGTGCGGTTGTGTAACAATGACAGACCGACAGTGCACCATTACTCCCCTAGTGAAAAACTTATATCATGCATACTTTGGAATGAAACTTGGAGACCAAGATAAAGCTTTTGCCCCTCACATGTGCTGCAAAACATGTGTTGAAAATCTGCGGCGCTGGAGCAACAAGAAGATTCAACGTCTACCATTTGGCATTCCTATGGTATGGAGGGAAGGCAGAGATCATACCACGGACTGTTACTTCTGCATGACAAACCTTCAGGGTGAGTTATACTAATACATCAATACTAATATATCAAATGCAGTATGTTCATGCATTCTTAAATATATCTGTAAGTTAATATGTTATGCTATCTTGATACTAAATCTTTCGTTCACATTTCAGGTATAAACAGGAAGAACAAACATCATGTTAAGTATCCAGATGTACCCTCAGCCATCAAACCAGTTCCTCACGGACCAGGAATACCAATTCCAACTCCACCAGAAAACTATAGGGACATGATACTCGATGACGATCATGATATCGATGAAGACATAGAAGAGACTGACGCTTCTAGTACATACTTGCCCACAGCTTCTGCAAAAGAGCCCATACCCTTCAGTCAAGCTGAGTTGAATGATTTAACAAGAGACTTGTGCTTGTCTAAGGAGTCGGCTCAACTACTAGGATCACGGCTTTGCGAACACAATGTCTTAACACCAGAACAACATTTGCCTGGTACCGTAACCGTGACAAGGAATTTCGCAAGTTCTTCAGTTTTGACAAGGAAACTTCATTGGTGTATTGCAACAATATCAGTGAACTCATTGCAGCTATGGGAATATCATACAATATATCAGAGTGGCGGCTCTTCATTGACTCATCAAAAAGAAGCTTGAAAGCTGTGTTGTTGTTCAATGGAAACCATGTCGCGTCTGTTCCGGTGGGGCATTCAGTACAGATGGATGAGAACTACAACAACATGGAGTATCTGTTAACTGCTCTGAAGTATAAAGACCACAATTGGAAGATCTGTGGAGACTTGAAGGTAATTTAATACACCAAAAACAGTTGCTTTCAAAAATTGATATTTTGTTGACAGTTTTTCTAATAGGTAATTATGTCTGCCGACATATTGTCATATTATGAAGAGTTAATATTTTTTAATAATAAAACTATTCAGCTAAACATATTTTTAATCTGTTTTTTCCACAGGTTGTGTCCATGGTGCTGGGCCTACAAGGTGGTTACACCAAATTTCCATGTTTCCTCTGTCTGTGGGATAGTCGAGCAGACAAGCAGCACTACATGCAATGTGACTGGCCTGCAAGAAGTGGACTTACTCCAGGTTCTCACAATGTTGTTGCCCATGCTCTGGTGAATCCGCAGAACATTCTTCTTCCGCCACTGCACATCAAGCTCGGTCTGTTCAAAAACTTTGTAAAGGCACTGGACAAAAAAAGCCAGGCTTTCAATTTTCTGAAAGAAAAATTTCCAAAAGTCAGTGAGGCAAAGCTGAATGCAGGAATTTTTGATGGCCCTCAGATCAGAGAGCTTTTCAAAGATCCCAAGTTTGATTGCAGCATGGATGTAAATGAGAAGAAAGCCTGGCATGCCTTTAAGTCTATTGTCTCCAATTTTCTTGGCAACTACAGAAGTCCAGAGTATGGACGAGTTGTTGAGGACCTACTTCTGAGCTACAAAGTTCTTGGTGCACGCATGTCCATCAAGATGCACTTCCTCAGCTCCCACTTGGACTACTTTCCAGAGAACTGTGGTGATGTGAGTGAGGAACAAGGAGAACGCTTCCATCAAGATATCCGTGTAATGGAGGAGCGGTACCAGGGTCGCTGGGATATCAACATGCTCGCCGACTACTGTTGGTGTCTGAAACGGGACGCCCCAGACACCAACCACCAAAGAAATTCTCTGCGACAGCCATTTATGCATGTCTAACTGTAAAGGCATCTATGTAGTTGACATATTTTGGTCCTATGTGTTGTGGTTACATTTCTTATGATATATTTTGCATAAAAATTTTGACATCATATTTAAGAATTTCGATTTTTTCCTAATTCCCATAGCATAAAAATCTGACCTGATTGGGCAAAATGAATGGCATTTTTGGAATCAGCACGCAAAATACATAAAGAATCAGCTAAGAAATCCCGCACCTCATGAATTTTTTTTTCAAATGCATCATCAAGATTTAGTTTAACCAGACCACTGAACCCCATTTGAGTCTCTCCTAGGGCTGGCCAGAGGGATTAGTTAACATATATTTGTGTTTCAATAATTTAGTATTATATTGTTTGGAGGAGATTACAGTATTTCAAAAAGGTCAAAACTGAACTTAGGGAAAATTTTGGGGTCTCTGCTAAAATATCTTACATTGTAGGGTAAGTGAAGCACATTGTTCGATACTGATTATAAATAGGGCATTCAATGAGAATATGTTGGACTGTTATTTATGATCGGCAGTTGGAGCATATAGGTGGGGCTCCATTAGGGGAAGACATGAGTTGGCCATGCGTCAATTGCGTATGCCCAATTCTTAGACAATTCAAAATAGTTTCGTGATGTCGAGAGGATTTTGTTTTGATGATGACCAAGGATAAACTGATGATTTGATCATTTTTAGCGTATGACTTGTTGGTTCATTTTCCCAGGACTTTTGCCAATCGTCAAATATTCATGTTTTGTAGGTAGTTAGCCTCGCCGATAATCAAAATATATGGTTTTCCACTGCCTTACATATTTCTTTGACAATTTTCAGCTATGAAATACTTATCTCCTATAAATAATTCATTTAAAACTTATTTTTTTACAAATAATATTCACTGGTTCCAGAATGTATCTAAACTTACGCCAGTGATGGTCAAGTCTGGTCTTACATAAGTTCATACTCGGTGCTATCACAACACTACCGGTAACTCTAAATACAAGAGGGAAGAGCCATGTCGTCGGTTCTGTGAGTGTTCATTACAGTAGTCCAATTCGTCGCCATGGGTAGAATAGGGGGAGGGGGGTGGGGGAATGCAGGGGAAGGTAATGTAATGGGATGGAATGTTCGATTGACCCTTAGTCTTAGGGGTAGGAATGAAGGGAAGAGGTGGGGGAGGGAGGAGTGGAGTGGGGGATGGTGAAGGGGAAGTGTTGGGAGAGAATAAGTAATCGATTAGTGTTTAGGTGTGGTAACCCATGATGCTCAAATTATGAGGTTTAATAGTTGGGTGGGTAGAGGCCGTGGGGAGGGGTGGGGAGTCTAGGCGCGGAGTTGGAACTCGTGAACGTATGATGTTGTTTAATGCATGTTATGGAACATTACAGTATCTTCAAACGGGTTTTCACGCTATCAAGAGGCCTTATATAATCCACCAATAAGGATTACAACGGCACACAGTATGGCTGCAATTGGTAAGAAAAATAACATGGCAAAATTTCTGCCCTGCGTAATTTTTACAACCCACCTTACGCCTAAAGTAAACCGAAAATGCTTGTGTGTATAGAAGATTTTCAACTCAATATCACATATTATTTCACCTCTACAAATATCTGCTGTCACTCATGGGACACCCTGCAATAGTATAAGGACGACATGGGCTATGCTGACAAATTAATGTGACTTACCTGTTGGTGACGACGATGGTAGGAATGAGACCTCGGCATGTTCCTGTGTTTGACATCACTGCCTTCCCCTGGTGTGGGTGGCGCCAACCTTGGTAACAACTTGTGTGCCTATCAGTCGCACCATCGTAGCCGTGAACGACAGAGATATGGTCTTTGTAGTGCTTTTATTTACCCGTTACATATCTCTCGCCATGCTCAATAATATTAACTATCTTCATGACATTCCTATTGTTATCAGTGATTGCGGAATTCACTATGTTATGCTCCACCTACACACAGCCTGTTACTAGACTAACCAGCACCTCCTCTATTTCCCCCCCCACCACACACTACAGTGGGCGACATCTGTTGGCCGACCATTGTATTTCCCCAGCTGTTTCGAAACTTCAGACTCAAGGCTATTTGAAACCTCACTGTGGCTGGGTAGTGGACACGACTTTTGTGCACGATAGTACATGGACAGAGCTTTTTGCTGTAAAGATAAAATGGGATGAGGGTGAATTTGCCAGAGCAGGGGGTGGGGGGATAAGTAGTTGGACAGGATGCACAATATCTTGTGTGGTAATGAACAAACCGATTATCTGCTCTTAGTGCAGGAGGTGTCGATATTGGCCGTAGGAGTGAGGAGCTTCTTGAAGTTCAAGACAACTATAGAAACATGTTAGGTCTATGGGAGGATCCCATCATATGGGGTGTCCTGCCTGGAAGGAGAGTTGGAAATGAATGGTTGTGAAAGGCAGTTATGTCAACGGTCAGTCTGACAGATATTGCGTCACTATCAGTCCTATCTATTGACAACTGGGGACAACTTTACGCAGAAGGGACCATAGGTAGGTCATATGGAGGCGAATTTTTTTTTTGAGTTTGAAAAATCGGCCCATGGTATTAATGATGTAGTTCTATGTGCAGAATCATGTGATATCTTCAGATTTGAAAAGTTTTCATTTTTTGCTAGGCAAATTTTAACTTGAAATCTTATGAAAATTCAGTATTCCCACCCTTTTACCAACACCACTAAATAGCTTATTTAAAGTAAAGTAAATGTATCAGGTTAATTTATTAGGATGAAAATGATCCAGAATAGTGAAACGAATGATCTTGACACATTTATTAAATTTAATATTCCTTTAGAAACAAAATCATCAAAATACAAAAACCGGTTTTAATATTAGTGACCCGGTAAGTTGCTGCACACCATAGAGAACATGTCTTTTCTTGCTTCTGTTTCTACCCATCACCTCCCTGCTGACCACCTGAGCTCGGATGTAGCCTTCCCTCCTCTCCTGGCTGTACACGTGACTGCTGGCCTCGCTCACTTGCTGTACACAACGCTCTATACTCTGGGTGTGTGAGGGCCAGGCAGGGACATGCATGGGGTTGTCCAGGAAAGCTCTGACTTGAACATTGGTGAGGCTGCAGGTAAGAGGGCGCTCACTGCCAGCCTGGATGTTATCCAGATCTATGAGATCAGTGAGGGTCTTGGCACCTACATTGACTTCAGGAGTCTTCCTGACCCTGAAGGAATCGTCACCAACTGATTCGTCATGCCCAGATCCTCTCATAAGTCTCATATCCAAGATCTTTTTGACTGCCACTCTTCTCTCCTCCTCATCCTTACTGCAGAGCATTGTCTGCAGAACTGCCTCGGGATGAGCATACCAGGAAGATTCCCTCACAGTCTGCTCCACAATCTGAACAACCTTCCTTGGCTGACTCCCTCAGGAGCTCGTTGAAGAGAACATGCCTCCTCGGACCTTCGAGAACGATGACTTGACCTTGGTGTTGAACCACTTGCAAGTAGACACTCACGATGAATTGACAATAAGTCTCAGGTTGTGAAGTTGGTTCCCTTTCAGTTTATGATGAGCGACCCAAATTCTGCAGAACCTGAGAGCCGTTGTGAGCCACCTAGAATGTGAGACTGACCTATCTGCAGGTAAGCAAGTCTATCAGGCATGACCCCAGTTTTGATGGCACTGCAAAATCATATGTAAATCCATAGTACTGGTCAGTACTCAGGTCGTCAATGACAGTATAAAAGCCTCAACGAGTGGAGGGCTAACTGTGATTTTTCAAAGCTCGGATTTATTAACTCAGTGGCAGAGTCCAGCATCTTGCCAAGAGGACCAGACCATCTGTTGTTTGAAAGAGTCTTGCCATCCAGCCCTGGATCAGATGTCTGATTGGCAACTCAAGCTGGGTGTGGGAGGTCACAAACAATCCAGACCAGCTTCCTCCCACCTTCCGCTCCCATCCACCGTATGACCCCCT